TCAATTACACAATAAAAATATTAAGCTATTTGAATTTAATAATTTAATTTTTAAAAATAATAATTGTTAATTTTTTAAAGAATAATTATAAGAATAATAAATAAATGTAACACTTCTATCTTATTTAAATATTCTAAATAAGCACTTTACATATTTTTATATTTATATATACTATAAATGTTCATTTTTTATGTTCCAACAAATTCTATTCTAAAAAATTAAGATACATGTTAAATTTTGTTAATTAATATAACCTAAGATTCGAAACGTTAGATTATTTCAATATTACATCAGTTTCATAATTTTTTTATTTTTTTATTTTTATCGTTTTAATAAATTTTTTTATCAACTCTAGTTAAATAATATATAAATTTACTAATAAATTTTATAAAAATTCTAAATTTATTCTGAATTCGAGGATCTCTACATCATTTACTTTTTAGCAGTCCCATGCCTCTCTTGCCAGATCTTCTACCCACAGCATGCCAACACAAATCAATTCTCATGTTCCATTTTGATTATGAATCGAAGTTTGTTTTCTGCTACTGGAACAGACCAGAAGACGAGATCTGCATTCATGGCCTTGCCGTGAATTCTACCGTTGAGAACATGCTGTGAGGTTAGTAAGAGAGTGCATGCTAAGTAATTGCTTCTGTTCCTCAGAGGAAGGCAGTTTCCGTATTTCTGTTTATACCTAATTGATGGGAGGGGTTTATAATTAATCTACCCTCTGAAGCTCATTAGCTTTTTAATAGTGTTAGCTTAACACGATTGTAGTCTTAACAGCTTTGATATTGATTGAAATTGCATAGAATTTGTACTGTTAACTCTGGCCTTTTTCGTTAGACTCTTATATAGTGTATGCATGTGAGTAGGGGTAACAAGTTGGGGTACTAATCGGATGTTATCCGTAAACAGGGTCAAAATTTCATGTTACAATCTAATTACTTTTTCAGTTTAATTTAAAATTGGTCAATTTTATCTTACCCTTTATATCCAATGTTGCATTGTTGGGTGGTGCCAGAAATTGTTAACAGATACACAGATCATCAGAATTAGATGATGACTCGTAACTTGACTCCACAATTGACTAAATTTTCTTTTTCTTGTCATGATTTTTGATGTTTAATATGAACTAGTTGTATGTAATAATACTTGTTGCTTCTGTGGTTGGAGGTATAAAGATTAGTTTCATTATCAAGCAATAGCGTGGAATATGGTATCTGTCGTTGTATTTGCACAAATGAATGAATACTATTGAAGAGAAGAAATGTAATAACATGGAGCAACAAATGGTTAAGAAATGGAATCATATAATTTTGTATCTAAATTATATCTGCATAAGTTTCCTGAATGTACATATCGAAAAATTTTTAGCCAAAAAATGCAAATGAATCTCAAAATTTGGTATCATTGCAACTTGATTTACAGGGTTAGTGATTGAGGATATTGAGAAAGGAAACTCTGGTTTTGATCAATCGTCTAGAAAGGCATTCAAGGCCATCTTCAAGATCTTGAATGCACTGCTCCAAGTTTTTTAGTTGGGCTTGAATACTTTGAATGAGCATGCTGTAACCACATTTGCTTGTCTTGGGACTGCAGAGAGACTGCAAAGCGCTGTCCATGTTGGCAAATTCATTATTGTCTGAAAATTCTTCCTCGGGAGCCACTCTTTTGTGGTGGATCAGTTTAGAAACTAATGACCAGCTGCTTGGCTTCGTTTGCAGATTGGACCCTGAGATTAGGGACAATAAGGACTCAAGAGCAGTGGCAGTTACTGCTTCAGCTTCGCGTAACATGCTTAACATTGCGGAAGCTTCCTTGTCTAAATTGATGGGAGAGGAAGTGCGGCTCTTTTCAATACCTTTCAATTTCCTCAGAGCTTTGTGGATTGCCTTTTTCACCAATTTTCTGGAAGCTAAGTATTTCTTAATCTCAGCTTCACCTCCACATCTTCGGCGGAAACTTGACTGAAGTTCACGTGTGGATTCCTTTGTCAGAAGTAATACATCTTTAGCGGAGCTGCACACATCCAAGAGCCGGAGAGATCCATCTAGTAGCTCTGCCACACCTTCTTCATTCAACTCTCGGGTTAATGTTTGTTGGCAGAGAGGCAAGAGAAGCAGCTTCTCAACACACTCATACAGATCTTGAAGGGCACTTATTTTGCCACAAACTGATGTTGATAATGTTGATGCAGATACTGAAGACTTTATTCTGCACAATTGGACATCAACTTGTTGTAGAAAAGGATGTGTTATGCAAGGGAAGCTATGGGACCGAGCATGGTAGGCAGCCATTTTTTTTAGAGAAAAGAGAGGGTTAGCAGATGAATTCTGATTTCACTGTAAACAATTTGCCTTGTGTCTTTTGCTTCCCCTCATTATATATTGCAGGTCAATGGAGACAGAAAGAATCTTTTTTCTTCTTCCTCTTCGTTATCAATTATTAAAAGTGAAGAGTGTTCTGGATTTAGGTAGTCTGTCAATAATGTTTATGCATGTCTCCCTCTTACCACATCTCCAGGTCAGCTTTCCTAAAGAATATACAGACGCTTGAGTGGCACTAAGAGAGCCCTAGGACAAGAGACAATAGCCTTACCATCTCATCTTTACTCACTGTATGTTGTTGCTTTCGATTTCTTAAAATAATTTCATCTGCCAGTCCATCTCCACATGAAAATGACACCAGTAATCTCTATCTAATTGTACACAACCATTTCCACCTAAATGCATCAATAATCCATGTTAAGGACTGATTGAAAAATTTGATGTTGCATGTTCCTTATCTGGCTTCTGCACAAGTAGTATGCAAGTTATTCATAATCTAATATCACCTTTTCTTTTTTTTTTCTTTCATTGAAAATGGCTTGAGGCTGAACTAGGCTGGATAAATCAGACTGTCTCTCCAAACAGAGAAAGCCAGAATATCTTCTTTAGTTTTTGTCAATATTTAATCTTCTGCCTATAGACAATTCAGGTCAGTAGCATGGAGGACGCAAATAATATGCTTTATATGTATCTCTGTAAAGTCAGGTTTTTCCCTCAATGCGTGCCTGTTGGATGTGCATGGATGCTAACTCCAGTTTATTAATAAACAATTTACTTGAATTTTCACTTTAATCAGCATTTCCTGCAATATTTAGATGAGATCTGCATACTCGGCCATAACATACCTGACAAAAATGGAGACAAATGGTTAGTGAGGACAATAACTCTGCCATCCTCTATAAAATGTTAGAGTACTTTCACTTTTATAAAACACATTTTAGACATGTTACCAAGTCTTGTGAAAAGATTATAGCTAGTGATAGAAAAGGTATATTCATCTTGTAATATCAGGTCTGAGTCTTTCGAGTTCTTGTGCATCAATGTGGATGCTTATGGATTTTTATATCAATCAATTGATTTTCCTCAAGACATATATGATGCTCTTAAAAGAAAAAAGGACAAAAAAATAGTATGGCTGCAAGATCTTCTGAGAACCAGTGTTTAACTTTAGTATGAATTGAAGAGTACAAATACTTTTAGTCTATATACAGAGCATCATGATTTTTTTTTTTTGGCTAGTGATTAGCGACATTGATAAAGGAGACTCTGGTCCTGATCAACTTTCTGTATATGCACTCAAGTCCTTCTTCAAGATCTTGAATGCACAACTCTAAATTTTTCAACTGCCCTTGCACATGTTCAACAAGCATGCTGTTGTCATATTTGCTCATCCTGTGACCATAAAGAGATTGCAAGACACCATCCACCTTAGCAATTTCATTTCCGTCGTTCTCTTCATCCTTGCATGCAACTATTTTGTGGTGCATCAGTTGGGAAACTACTGACCACCCTCTAGGCTTCAATTGCGAATTTGAGCCCGAGATATAGAGCAAGAATGAGTTGAAGACGTTGAGGGTAAAGGTTTCCACCTCTGTTAACATGCTAACCATGCCACTGTCTCATGGTCTTTGTCACATTGTTTTTGCATTCCCTTCAAGCTCCCCATAGCCTTATAGGTTTCTTTCTTAATCATCTTTCTTGAGGCTAATAATATCTTAACCTCTTCTTCAACTCCACATCTTGTCCAAATGATTGAAAAAGTTCTCATGTGAATTCCTTTGTTTGCAGCAAGGCATCCTTAGCAGTGCTGCAGATGTCCAAGAGCCTAAGAGAACCATCCAGCAAGGCGTCCTTGTGCTAATGTTCTTTGGGTGAGAGGTGAGAAGCAACTTTTCAACACAATCATGCAAATCCTGAGGGCCAGTTAGATTGTGGTTTATTGATGAGGACTGTGATGATGCTTCTTCTGAGACCCTTATTCTGCATAAGTTCTCTTCAACTGTGGGAGGAGAGGATGTTGTCTGGAAGGCCAACTGTTGGAGCGAACATGATAGGCAGCCATTTTTACCTACAAAAAGAGAAGGCATAGAAAGTGAATATTGCTAATTTCCTGTTTGCTTTCCTTCTGTTCTTTGCATACCTTCAATGCATATATTATAGGTTAAGAGAGACACAAGGAATCTCTTCCACTTCAATTATGGATCATTAGTAGAAAAATATTGATTCGGATCTATATCCTATCTCAGCAATGTTTATTTATGCTTGTCTCCCCCTCAGCAGACCCCCAACTCGTCATCACATTACTAAAAACTCCTAGAATCAATCGTGTTGGTCCTATATAATATAGGAACATTGCACGAGTGGCTGAATAATATGCGTACGAAATGACATTATGATAATCCTCAATACTAATTCAAACATTTAGAGTGCTCATCAGATTGCTGTGCAGTGGGCAGGCAAGATCTTCATAAACGGGATTACTTGTCTTCCTCTAAAATATCAAAACTGCAAATAGCATATGAAATGAATTATTAGTTGGCTAGGTGAATAAGACTTTTTCTTCAAACAGATGAAGGGCCAGGCTACTTCTTAACTGTGCAAGTGTCATTAATTTGTTTCTGGTAAGTAGTTGATCATTTGCTTGGAGAGAACTAGCATCTTAGACCATGTGGGATCTGAGTTCACCAAGTGCAACAGATCATACACGGGAGAGAGAAGACTGTGTATTTATCGTCAAGATTTACTTATTATTTATCAATTAAAACTTAAACTTACCATGCTTGTAATTTATCTAATCTGAACTCACACATCGTCTGTGATTTTTTTTTTTTTTTGAAATATAAAGCATCTATGGTTATTCTTAACTAGATGGTCGAATACTTGATGGTTGAATTTTGTTTCTTTACCAACTGAATGTAGAATGAGATATTAGCCGTAACATTTGCACAAACGAATGTTACTGAGAGAGAAGAAAGACAAGATAATAGAAAAGAGAATTTATTGAAAATAGTATTTAACTGTAGTATAATATTATTACATGTGTAATTTCTCTATGTACAGATCCCAAAATTGAGTATGGTTAAGTCTTGACTCTCTTGCTAGGCTAGTGATTGAAGATATTGAGGAAGGAAACTCTAGTTTTAATCAATCGTCTGTACAGGCATTCAAGACCATCTTCAAGTTCTTGAATGTACTGCTCCAAATCTTTTAGCTGGTTTTGTACATTCTCAAGAAACATATGTTTATCACGTCTGCTTTCCTTGTGACCGTAGAGAGATTCCAATGCGCCATCTGCCTGCATAAATTTGTCATTGCCTAAAACTTCTTCAGATGCCACTCTTCTGTGGTGCATCACTTTCGAAACCAATGACCAACCACTTTTCTTTTTTTGCAGATTAGACCCTGAGATAAGAGACAATAGGGATTTGAGAGCAGCGGCAGTTACTGCTTCAACTTCTCTTAGCATACTTACTACAGCCAGAGCTTCATGGTCTTTGTTGATGGGCGAGATACTGCATTTCTTTTCCACACCCTTCAAGTTTCCCAAAGCCTTTTGGATTGCCTTCTTCACAATTTTCCTGGAGGCTAAATATTTCTTAATATCTGTTTCATCCCCACATCTTCTCCGCATACTTGATTGAAGTTCACGTGTGCATTCCTTTGTTTGCAGCAACACATCCTTAGCAGAGCTACACGCATCTAAGAGCCTGAGAGATCCATCCAGTA